TTTGAGCATTCTAACACTCCTATGGTGTACATGCAACCCTAGAAACTTGGATCTATGTTTGACTAAGATACATGCAAATAATTATTTTTTCAAGGTTCTTATCCTAACTAGCATGGCATATGGTACTTGAATCAAATAAAACAATAGAATTATTACCTTGTAGTAGTAGTTGATTGCTTGGAGTTTGAGAGCCTAGCACCAATAATGTGGATGCCTCAAATGGAAGTTCACAAATCACCACAAACTTGGAAACTTGAGAGAATAGTCACAAACTTCTTGAAATCGGCCCCTCTTAGTTTACACACATCAACTAGTGCAATTTCAAGAACCAAAGCCTCCTTTATATAGTGTGGTGGATTAGGGTTACATCCATGTAAACCCTAATACCCATGTCTTTTCATTTCCATGAGATCCATGGGTTAAAGCTCCATGAAGTATCCATGGACTTTCCATGCAAGCCTAGCCCCTTCCAAATAAGCATTGCCCACACTATATAATACAAGAGCCCATATTTAATTAGTCATACTTTTGATCTCTAAATTAATTCTAAATTAATATAGATCAACACTAATTAAATCATATGATTTTATATTAATATATTAGAACTTATAATATATTAATAAATCATAACCTTATACTATTCTCAAAAGATTATCCGTAAATTGTTCGGGTGAAGTGCAACCCAAATGGACCATGCCGGGTCGGGTTAAGTACATACCAAATATAGTTATGGACTTAGACACTATCTCCAACAATAACTTATTCGTTATAACTCGAATTTCTGGTGTTCTTTATATGTACGGAATCCTTGTAACATATACTACAACTTAGTTAAGATTACTCCTTCTAAATAATCTTCCATCAAAAATTCATTTTTGACGCTTATCGTCTCTAAATTGACTAGCCAGGATGTACGGGCGTTACACTAGGTATAATTGTTTACATCTATTAAAAGTCTTATACCTATAGAAATTCGAGCACTCTAGTTTTAAGCGTTTCTGATCTAAAACATGGCACAACTACTTGTAAAAGGTACAAGTTTGCAAGCCGTAGAGAGTAAATGGCGTTACATGAGACTATAACTGATACTATGACGTTCCTATCTCCATAACCAGATCTACAAGGAGGTCGCATCACAACATTCGTCCGGACCCTTCATCATCATCAGGAACAACCAAAACTATAATCTTCTAGACCCTTCATCATCGTCGGGAAAACAAATAGGACAATTATCACCATTATGCCTTGTCAGACAAGGTTGTAGCTAGCAACCATAGGTGGGGTTATCAACCCGTATAGGACACTATACATAACTTCCTTTCTCCATAGGATTAATAGTTATATGCAAAGGACCTTACTAAGTTTTTGATTCTTAGTTTATGAAGTCCCATGTCATCTAGACTTAACAGTTTCAACCGTCCCAACAATTCTACAGTTCCAACTGTTCTAACAGTGAGTAAGTGCGTCTAAAACCTTAACTTACTGGACCAACGACTTAAACGTATGTATAGCGGTTGTGAACAGAACAAAACTAGGTTTTAACCAACATGAAACCAACAATTCCCATAATATATGGCAAGTTGCATAATTGATACATTACATAATTTCTTAAAATATGATTCTTAGAATCTGGAAATCAATTGTGCTATCATTTACAAATTTAGTAAAAATGATTCATATTTTTATAATAATTATAAACATATATTAAAATCGTTTTAAGCTCATTTTTATATAATGTCAAAGAGTATAATAATAATAGTTGACTTTTGGTACTTTCAACTAATCATGTTATATTTTCTCAACTTTGTTTTCAACCGTTTAAGGTAATGTATTTTATTTTTATACCTAAATATGTTGAAGAAAACCCTAAACCAACCCTAAACCTAAAACCATGGAATACTTTCTCTCTCTAGAATTTTTCTCTTTAGGAAATTCCTTTGGAGATTAAGTGTTCTTGCTTGTTCATGGGTTTTTTGTGCTTAATTTCTTTTAATCTGTTGCTACTTTGATTTGTTTGTTATGGGAAAGATCCATAGAGTCCGTAAATCAGCAAAAAAATTTAAATATCATGATAAAGGGCTTGGTGTTCTCGACTCCTTCCACTTTGAAGATAGCCCCCAAAAAGATGAAGTGGTTCCTGGGTCTCGTAATGCTCATGGAGGTTCTGATCTTGCTGAAAGTTCATCATCTTCCACTGCCTTTTGTGTTAGCAATCACAGTAACAAAGGTCTCTTCTTCTTCAACTCACCCGTCCATGTGTCACATGAAGCCTCCTGTGAACCCTCCGTTGAAAAAGTTGATTGTTGTACGCATGATAATGAGGAGGTAGCAGGTCCTGTTCACGTGTTTGGTGAAGAAAGGGTTCCTATAAATCTTTTTGAAGATTCTTCTAATGCTCCCCAAGAAGTTATCGAATCAGAAGGTGTAACCCATGCAAATGACGAAGCTTTTAAAAAAAATCGATAGAATAGATGGAATGGTTGAGGATTGCTCAGATTCTGATGTCGAGGATTTGGTTTGCGATCTCCCTTCTACCAGAATTCTCTCTCCGGTTGTGACGACGCCAACCCCTCCTTCCGGCTCTGCTTCTGATGAACCCTCGTCGCTGACCTTATTGACGTTGGAAAAGCGTGATGACCAGGTTAACTTGCAATGATTTCCTAATGGCGGCGTTGTGGATGCGTTTGGCTGCTTCACTCCGCCCCTCAACCTCCGGTCTCCTCCGTCTTCGGTGGTCTCATCCAATTATGGAAAAGATTTGCTTTCTGTTGAGGGTCGTACGCTTAACCCGTCGTGCGCCATCATGGGAAAGGAAAATCTCCTGCTTAAGGAAAGTCAACCTCTGTGCATTAAAGATTCCACTTTATTAGAAGATAATTTGGGTGTGAACATCGGGGTAGGAGCGAATTCTGCAGGCACATCTCTCAAGCCAATTAATTGTAGCAGTGGAAAGGCATTTATTGCCCCTGGATTTGTGGTCTCTCCAGCTCCTGCCATGTATTCCGAGCAGCCACTTGTTGGTAATATGGAGAGTCAAAAGATGCCTTGCTTGGGGACTAAGGCTGTGGGTCACGATCTCAATACCTTTTTGGGGGATATGGCTTCCTCTCGCATTTATTACCCCCCTAAAGATAGAGACTCAGCATTTATTGCTTCTGACCCCACCCCTCCTTCTCCTGGTCACGTGATTTTGGACTCCCCCCCTCTTGGCCGGCCTAATTTCGCAAATCCTTCTTCTCTTCACTTTGGGCCTAACAGCCCAACTTTTATTCAGCCACCTTTATCATTTGTTGATATTGTTTTGGGCAAGTCCAAGACTTCTCTTGTTGGGCCTCTATCCCCAGATCATGTTGTTGATGACCCAACATGAAAGGATGCTCCGATTAATATTTCTGATGACGAGGTGCCTTCTATTAACCCACTTAAACTTGATTTTGTCAACATCTCTAATTCCTTGCATGATGATTTTTTGATAATACCTCCGGAGATCATGACTAATGGCAGCATTCCTTTTGAACGCACTTTTTATGGTTATTTTATTGGTAAAAGGCTTGCATTTCCTCTTGTTAGAGATCGTCTCCAAGACTTATGGAAGGAACATGGAATTAGTGACATCTTTATTAATAATGACGACATGTTCTTTTTTAAATTTGACAACGACAATGGCATGAATTATGTTCTTCAAAAAGGAATTTGGAAGATTAATGGTATCCCGCTTTTCCTTAGAAAATGGGACCCGGATGTTTTTATCGAAAAACCAACGCATGACCGGGTTCCCGTTTGGGTTAATATTTTTGGAATTCCCCTCCAACTCTTTAACAAGGATGGCTTAAGTCTTATTTCTAGCAAACTGGGGAAACCTTTGGCGGTTGATTCCTACACCACCACCATGTGTGAGCGGGCTACGGGTAGAGCGGTTTTTGCCCGTATCCTCATCGAGATGTCGGCCCAAGATCCTTGGGATAAAGATATAAAAACCAAAGCGATCACGACTAAAGGTGCTACAACTACAACACTTAGAGTGGAGTATTCTTGGAACCCTAACAGATGCGATCACTGCAAAATCTTTGGTCATGACCAAGCCACGTGCCCCATTCTCACGACTAGTACTCCCGCCCCAAAGCCTGCTATGGCCACCCCAAAAGAAGTTGATAATGAAGGATTCCAAACGTTCAAGAGGAGATCTAGATCATTTCCAATTCCTAAAAAGAAGATCCCCATCGACAACCGTAAAGGAAAAGGCCCTTCTTTAAAGATATCTCAAGTCTATAAACCAGTAAACCGAGTAAAGCCAAAGGAAAAAGTTACAACTAACATGTTTGATGCTCTTTCACATCAACGAGTGGTTGATACTGATGATGATGTTTGATGCAGTTTCACATCGGTTATTGATATGTTGATGAAATGATATTCACCCAACTTCAGACGCAATGTCGAGCTCTTCTCATGGTGGTTGTATCTCCTCTCCTATAGATCAGGGATGACGTTTTTAGGTTCTTATTTTTAGTTTGTCTCTAGTTGTTTGTTTGTTTTGTCATTGCTTTGGGGCATGTCCCTTATCTTATCTAGTCTTTTTTCCTTTTCTTGGGCGTTTGCCCTTTTCTTTTGTAACTCTTCCTATACTTAATATATTTTGCCAAAGGGATTCCCTTTTTCCAAAAAAAAAAAATGTTGAATAACATTTTTGATTATATACAATATCTTTTTATACATTTTTAAGAAGCTCAAACTTATATATGACAAATACTATAATCTTTATAAATCATCAATTATATATTTTGTGTCGTTATAGCATTCTACTTATACTCTTGTGATTTTTCTTAATAATTAAGTTCATATTTCACATAAGGTATAAGTGTATTATCTTTTAGAAATCCACTTTAACTTGTATGATTTATAACATTTTAGATTGCTACTTCATAAAATTTTGACCAATAACAAATATGATGCATTTTAATGTATAAAGACTTGAGCGACATCGAGGCTGTCACCGGTTGCTTCGTGGACGAGGGCTGCTCCGACAACTCTTGATTGCCACTTTTCCGTCAGGCAGAAAACACAAAAGGGATAGGGGTGTTTGGATTGCTTCTTCGATAGGAAAAAGGGGTGAATGAAATAAATAATAGGTGGGGTATTTGGTTTGTTGTGAAGTCAACAATAAGCACAAGAAAACAGAAGGGGGTGGTTGCGCTCTTGTTAATCGGAATTAGCCCATCTCTTGTGGTGTATTTGGTATGAAAATGAAGAATAAAAGAGAACATCAGCAGCAACACTTGTCAGGGGGTGTTTGTGGGTTTCTTGTCGACTGGAAAAGGGGAGGAAGAGGCTGATACGGTGGTGAGTGGGAGTTGGCAGCAAGTGGGTTTCCGACTTGTTTTCTCTCGGCATGGAGCTCACTGGTAGAGATGTTCTGGGTCTACAACCACTAAAGAAATCGAACAATAGGATACGAGTGTTTGGGTGACCATTAATGAAGAAAAAGAATATGGAGGGGCTGCTAAAAGTGGCTGGAACGTAGGGTGGCAGCCCTCCTCCCGTCCTTTGTTTTTCCAGCGACCCAAGTGAGAAAAGAGGTAGAGAAGAGAGAGATTGAGTATGGGAGGTGGGGGTATGTTTGGCAGCTGCAACTTGACGATCTCTAACAGATTTTGATGGAATTTGGTTTGATCTTTTGTACCATATCATCTATGAAAGATTTGGAGAAGTACATGGCAAGATTACTCAAGTATTTTGTATGTGCAAGTTGGAGAATCATTCCGAGAGTGTGTATGAGGTGAAAAGAAATCGAGAGTGAGGGAAAGATGGATAAAATTTGGACATTTATTTTTATTAGTGTATATCTCTAATAGATTTAATGTACATTTTTTGGTTTAATAATATTTTATGCATGTGGGTATTTGTTTGAAACATGTGAAGGCAATATTGCATACAAAATATTTATACACTCCCATATTAAAAGTTTTACTATATATGTTTGTAAGATATATAAAGAATTCGAGATTTGTATATAATAAATGTCTAAATTGTCATATATGCTAGTAATTGGTATTTGGAGATGATACATGACATATCTATAAATATGTTGTAACACCCTGCTTCGAATCATTTCCCATTGCGGGGTAATGATCAAGGAGTGAGTATTAGTAGACTTAGAACCCATGAAGAATATTTTGGGATCATTTGGAGGGGAATGATGTAGTTTGGGTGATCTGGGTATTCAGTTTGTGTTTCGGAGCCCAAGGGTATCGGTAAAGGCGTTGGTTCAGACCTTTTATGAATCTTGGATTTTTATTTCAGTTGGTTTTTAGGCTAAATAAAGTTGATTGAAGTGTAGGGATTCTCCTTGCATTTTCGTGGATATAAAAAACGTCAAAAACAGATAAAGGACACAAAACTTATGACCATTTGAAGTTAGAAGGGGGTTTGGGCCAAATCAGCCACGCATGGCGTACCAAGTGGGAACGCATGGCGTTCAAAAGGGAAATGGACGCGGGCCAACTTGGGAACGCAGGGCGTTCGCTGCGCTGTTTCAAAGCTTTGTTTTTAGGGTTTGGCCCCTTTATAAGCATCATTATGGACCAAAACCTCTTCCATTCTTCAGCCTCCATCCTCTCTAACCCTAAGAACGAAACCCTAGCCTCCATTTGTGCATTTCTTGAGCTTTATGGTTATTTATGAGTGTTTTGGTGCTTAAGGAAGAAGAAGGAACTTCTTGAAGGGTCATTACTTGACTTGGATCTTTTGGATCCAGAATTTGTGCACCTAGATCTATCTTCTGGAGGTAAAAAGTCTCAACCTTGACAACTCTTTCATGTAGATCTAGATAAGTGGTATTTTGTTATGGTTTTGGTTCCTTTGAGGTGGTTCTTGTGAGTAGAAGTTACTCCATGAAATTTGAGCTTCATAGTTGGTCCTTGTTGAGGTTATGGAATCATAAAGTTTGGATCTTGATAGGTAAAAACCTTCCATGCATGATTTGGTAGTCATTTGATGATGTTTGGGACTTAGGGTTTTGATTTGGGTCCCATTGATTTATGCTAAGTCATAAAGTTGGAAAATTTATGACTTAAGAAGTCCCCTTTGAATCGGATCTGGAAATTGGGCTAAGAACTATCTATATGGGCTTTGGTTGGGCCTCAAGACCTTGATTGGGCCTTAGGTTGGTTTGGGTCCAATTTGGAAAATTAGGCCATTGGTTGATTAATTGGCCTTTGGTCCTTTCAGATTATAGTTGGGCCATAGTGTTGGACAGGGACAAGTAGGGGTAAAATGGTCTTTTTACCCCGGGTATGAAGTTATAGTTATGTATTAGAACCCAATTGCTAATTGGGTGTCATTTGATATTGGTAGCTCTGAGAAGCGGACATGGCAGCAACTAAGGATTTCTTTCAGGAAGCTTCTGCATTTGAGGTGAGTCTCCTCACCATACCAATGGGTCTAAGGCACCAAGTGTGACATCCCCATTTTCACGGCCAGAAAAGACCGATTTTGTTTATGCTTTATAAAAATCAGAGTATCTCCTTTAATAAAAGTGTTGCGGAATTTGTTCCCAGAAAAACATGATAAATACGTTATCAAAGCATTTCCGAAGAAAAGTATTTTTATTCATTTTAAAACATTTGGGATGTCATTGTCAATACAGAAACATAAGCATAAACATAACTTACATTCATTATCACTAGTGATTTATATCTCCTTAATCTCTCGGTATAATGTGACTTCATATCAACACCTGTGATATAAATAAACTGAATGGGTCAGGTTGGGAAACCTTGTGAGTACATAGGGTTTTCAACCCACAATAATATAATTATTATGTTTAAACAATCAAGCAATCAACCCAATTACCCATCCCCATTATCTTCTTTATTCTTAAGGATCTACCCTAAGAATCAACTATTTCTCGTTCATTCATTCCTAAGGATTATCCTAAGGAATAGGTACGAATTCCGTCGTTGTCAATGACACATCTGTAAAACACAACTGCTAGTTTTGTCACTTAGGCATAGCTGCCAAAATTGTGACATTCTCTACGAGGCGCATCTGCCGGTATTGTCCTTTAGGCGCAGCTGCCAAGGTTCTCTCGTTTATCGACAATATCGTTTCCGAGAATCCACTCGCAATACATGTCAATGGGTTTTTAGAGTACACCGGTGAACACATCGTTCACAACACCTACAGGTTGCGAGCCTGCTAGTGTTCCACTGGACTGTCTAGAATAGTCCGTGGTTGTCATCCATACTCTGCTGAATGACGGGGCCATCATTTGGGAAAGGCTTCTCACATCGTCCACCTCTCACCCTGACCTCCTGGTCTATTTCACCTCTCACCTCATCATCCAACTCATATTTCATCTATCACATCTACCCATGTTTTACCCCAACATTTTCGTAGATATAAAATACATATACAGTTTAAATCATTTAAAACGTGTATAAAATCGTTCATCTAGCATAGACAACAAGTACTCAGATAATATGCACACATAGCACGTAATTTATATAAAATACTTCATATCTATGTGTAAGATGAAAGTAACTATGCACTCACTGGATTAGGTGGTGACTCGGTACTCGGACCGCACTTCGTTATCTCAAAACAATTTTCCCTCGACAAAACCTAGTATCAATATCACTAGGGTTTAGTCTAACGTTAACCGCGACTAATTAATAGTCTAGCTATTATTATTATTATATAAGCGTTAAACAACACTCTATATAACTCATAATAATAGCCCAAATAATTATTTTAAGGACCTAATAACATTACTATAATTATTAAAAGCTATATTAAAAATTGCGTAGGCGTAGCTCACTTACAGAGGATTTTAAAGAAAACCAGGCTTCGCTTGGAGCAGCGTTTCGAAACCGAAAGACCCTTTTTCTCGGGACTCCGGGAGCCTCGGGGCTTCCTTCGGGTGTTAGGGGGGGGGGGGGGTTCCCTAGGGTTTAGGGCACTTATAGAGAGAAAGTAGTGAGAGAAAGAGTTGATTTTTGGTATGAGAAACCGGCTGCCCTCGCACCCCTATTTATAGGTGCGAGGCTTCGCACTACGCTGGGCGTAGGTTCGCTCTACGCGGGGCGTTCATCGGATAAGGGTGCCAACTCACATACAGCTGGCTCGCACTCGGACTCGGAAGGATAAGGCTGAGGTACGCTGGGCGTACCCAACCTCGAACGCGGGGCGTAATAGCGAGGGCTACGTGGCGTGATCCGAAGCGACTCCTGAACCAACATCGGACGGCCCAAATGCTGCCACGTCATCAAGTTCTTATCAGACTTCGCAATTTCGACTACAAACTTTAAAAATTCGTATCTTTCGCATACGAACTCCGTTTTTGACATTCTTTATATCCACGCGAAGGCGGGA